CTCCTGCATCGGCAGGCGGACTCTCAAGCACTGCGCCACCAGGGAAGCCCCCCAGAGGCCAAATTTGATAGCAATTCCCTCAACCCCACTCCCCAGCTAAATTCCCCAACTTGTCATCTTGCCACTTTGGGGAAAACTGTTCTGGTAAATTACTTCACAGTGAGTTGGTCGTGACTGGATGTGGCATTCAAAAAAATGATGCCCTCAAAAGGTAATGCTTAAACCCAAGGAATGACTGCCTAACAGTGGAACTTGAGGCAATTAGTTTCTAATGGATGTAGGGGCTATTTTTAGGCAAATAGATGTGGTTTTTCTCTAGAGGGAAGTAAGTGCCTGTAAGGAATCATTCCTAGGCCCAGTGGAGACACCATGAACTGGGAAATTCTTTGGTCTGGAAGCCAACCAGATTCTCAGAGTTCTGTTGGCTTTGCCCTTCTGGATGGCCCCCTGGCTTCCACTAACCCTTAGTGCAAAGAAGATGAGAAGAGACTCAGCTCAAGAGAACGCAAACGGAGGGCAGAGCCCAGATGGCTTTCCAGTTGCCACTTCAGGAGGCATTTGGGAGCCACCAGTGACGGTGGCCTGGGCTTAGCTTGTAATAGCTTGTAAGTTTTGAATCTTTCCTTCACATCTTTCTCACTTAGATCTCACATTGCCTGGTTAGTGATAAAGCTCTGAGAATGGAAAGGGCCCGTCTTTGGGGACTTCATGGGCAGGGGAGCTGGTGGGGAGGTTCCTGGAGTTGGTCAGGCTTGGAGGGAGGTCTCAGGGCTGAGTGGGAATGGTGGTAGTCTGAGAGAAGAGGCAAGCGGGCTGAGTTCCAGGGACGGGTGCCTTTGAAAGATCAGGCAGTTGGAAAGTCCTAGCACCCACTGCTGGGTGACCCCTCTTGACACATCATCTTCAACTCAGAGGCTGCCCTTTAAAAGGACACTGGAAGATTCAAACATGTGCTGGGCCTGATCATGGCATTTGAGGATGGTAGAGATTTAGAATCTGTTTGAGATTTCTTTAACTTTGATCTATTCTCAAACCAGGGCAAGGATGCTCATGAGATATGGATGCAGACGGGTTGATGCAGCTCCCTGCTGGGCAGCAAGTTCAATGATCTTATTGGTCCCTGAGGAGCCCGATTCAGAGGAGCCAGGGCCTGTGGGCTCTGCCTTTTACCCCTCAGTCACATCAGCACCTGTGGACACCTACACCACCGCTGAGGCAGTCCTGCTGCTACTCACCAATGCCTGGAGTTCTCTCTGTGCTGGGTCTCTCATCTGGCCCCCCTACAGTCCCGAAGTGCACATTCTTACCACTTGGGTCTGTATTAGTTTCCCGAGGTTATGGTAAAAATTTACTGCAAACCTAGCGGCTTAAGACAATGCAAACTTATTCTCTAACATTGCGCTGATGAGCACTTGGTGCCTGGAGAAGAGAGGTCTGGTGGCTACTGCAAGGGCCTGGGGAGGGGAGACAGTAGAGGCACCGAGGTTGGCCAAACTGCTGACAATTAAACAATCGGCTCTTGGGGCAGAGCTGGGGCTGACTTATTGAGGGTTGGCCAATGCTGTCCTTAGAGGGACAGAGCTGCCCCCGGTTGCTGTGGGATGCAGCATGGGCTAGATGGCCACTGGTACTGGAAGTACTGGGTCTAACGTACAGCTACAGGTGAGCCTCTGATCCCGGCGAACTGCAGGAGCCCCAACCCTGCCTCTAAGATGCACAGAGGCAAAGTGCCTGAGCAGCTGCCCCAGGGAGGCTGGCTTTGAACCCCATAACCTTCTTCCTTATCTTCCAGCCGCCCCCTCCCCAGGCTCCCTACCTGTAAATCTTCCCCAGCTTCTTAACAATGTCTAAAACTTTTCCATTAAATACTGGCCCTTCCAGCCTAGGGCTTCAGGTTTGGTTAGCCTTAGGCTGTCCTCCGTCACAGAGACTGGTGAGTGAGTGGGCGCTAGGCCCTTTCCCAAGGACAGCCTTTGATGGGGTGGAGAACAGAAAGAAGGGATAACAGGAAGGGAGTGAGGGACAGCTAAAGCTGCTGAGCTCCTTCAGGTGGATAAGCAGGGCAAAGCCAGGGCCACTTCAGCAGCCCCATCCTTCTGAGCCAGAGGCAAGGGGACCTGACTCAGAGGCTGACCACTTCTCCAGGGGGCACCCCTCAGTGTGTGGCTCTCTCTTGTGTCAACTGGGATGTCTTGAGGGGCTTGGAGCAGCAGGAAAAATGTGGCTGGTGAGCTGTGGAGGAATGAAGAGCCAATGAGGGGCTTTCCTTTCGGATGCAGGCCTTTTACCCTGAGGAGAGGGGTCTATCAGGTGTAATCAGGGTTTAGCCTTTAATGGAGGGTGAGGGGGCAACTGTAACTCAGTCTTCGGTCTTCTAAAAGAAAAGCTTATTTCTCTCTCCCTTTTTCCTTACACCTGCCCCGCCATAAAATCTCCATAAAAGGGAGATATTTGGCTAAATTCAAAGGGTGAAAATTTAAAAAAAAATACAAAGCACAGATTTCTAAAGTTCCTTTGTTCTGCAAAATTATACACCTGGCAAGCGTAAGGAATCAATGAGTTGAAAGATTATTTGAGAGAATCTCCACTATGTGAGATGAGCTTGACAGGCGAGTTTGTGAGCACCGCCTTCCAGCTCCCACGTGACCAGAGGGACAGACAGTTTAAACTAGAGCAGGAGGGATTTAGGGCAGACTTCTGGGAGAGTGTTTTTACTTCTAATAATCATAAAGTGCACATAAGCAAGTTATCAAAGGGATTAGGCCTCTGTTCCACTGCTGTCTTGAAGACGAGGTGTAGTTAGTTCTCAGTTTGCAGCATTTGCAGTCCCAGCTCCCACTGGCTGTGGCCTGTTTTTAAAAGTACGTTTTGTTCAAGGAAGCATAAAATTGCCATGTAGTGTCATATCTTCAGTGATACCTGTGTTACCCCCAGGGGCTTATCAGCAGCAGCATCTGGAATCAGTGAGCAGTCAAACAATGTCAGCACTGAAGGTCGCATTTTCCATGCAGCCCCTGTGGGAAGAGCAGTAAGAAATAAAGATAGAGTGTCTCTGAGATGATGTGGTCATTCGGTAGAAAAATAACAATAGCAACAAAAGCAATGTTAACTCTGCCACTTTACAGTTATTAGTAGTATTACCCAACCTAGGGCCACTGCCTTCACTTATGCATATTCTGTACAGAAAAATGTGGACAGCATTATCTAGAGTTGTGCAGTGCACAACTTGCCCCACCATGCGTGGCAGCCCGTCACTCATAGAGTCTCATTTAAAACTTTGCAGCTATGGAATTCTTTTCACATTTTAAGTTGATTTCACATCCATTTGGTCCTCATGACAGTTTTATGAGATTGCCGGGCCAGTGTCATTTTCCCTAGACTACAGATGAGGAAACCAGAGAGGAGGTGGGACTCTTCCATGTGGTTAGCAGGATGAGATTAGGACCCAGAACTGGTACCTCTTGAATCAGGACCATATCTACCAGCAACTCACTTAACCCAGTCTTTTGGGAACACATCTGGGGTGCAAGAGACAGGCTAGTGGGGAGGCACTGGGAGCTGAGAGGCCTCGTCTTCTCTCCTTACCCTGAGTCTAGTCTCTGGCATGGCCTCGCCCTCTCACCATGGCCAGCCTCCCTTCTTCATGCCCCTCCTCTCCACCCCCAGATTTGAGCGAGAGCAGAATGACACCTTCATCATGGAGATTCTGGACATCGGCCCGTTCACCAAGATGCGGATCCGAATTGATGGCCTGGGCAGCCGGCCCGAGTGGTTCCTGGAGAGGGTAACATGGCTGGACCCTCACCCTCCCTTCCACCCACTGCCCACCCCTTCTTCCTGCTCCTTTGGGCTGTCAGTGGGCCTTGTTAAAGTGCAAATGTCACCTTAAAGGGTTGTTATGCGGACCTGGCCCAGATAATCAATACGCCCTTTGGTGTGAATTAATCAGAGAACGTAGTTTTATTTATTTGAGTCCAGTCAAAAGTGAATCAGCTGCCAGGGAGTACAGCATGCCCTGTCAGTGCAGTGTGGATAGAGACAGGGTGTGGGCTTCCTGGAGGAAGCGAGTTGGGAGGGTTGAGAGGGGAGCAGGAGCTGGGGCGGCAAGGCTCCAATGTTGGGAACGTTAGGCAGACGGCAAGGAGGCTTCCGGTGCCCCTGTGATCACGGCTAGCTGGCTGCCTCTTCTTCCATCTTGGGCCAGTGCTCCCCTCTGAGTCATCTTCTCATCCCTCATCCATCAAAGGCCATCTGTCCCAAGTCCCCTCAGGCTCTGCTCCCCCGTCCAGCCTTTAGCAGATTTTACTTGAGCCAACAGTAGGGTGCTCCCACCAAGGACAATCTGGTGAACTTGGGTACACAGTTCCAGGGATCTATGGCTGACAGTGGTTTGGTTGGTCTGTTTTTCTGTCATCCATTCAGCAAACATTTCTCACGCACAGTGATGGGCACCTCTCGGAAATATATTTAGACAGATTGCCCATTTCCAACTCCCCAAGTGAGGGTAGTCACGACAGGTGATTCAGACCCTGTGCCAGGCCCGCGGGGCAGGGTCCTTTCCTGGAGAGGACCCTTTCTTCATGCCTCAAGTCTAAATCAGAACTTGTCTCAGGCCTGGGATCATGGGTCCCGGGGGTCCAGCTGAGGGGGCTGCATAACGGGTGGGCAGCTGGCAGAGGTGAGGGAGGTCTTCCCATGCTGGCGCCTCTCCCCCAGATCCTCCTGAAGAACATGAACACTGGAGACCTGACCATGTTCTACTACGGAGACTGGCTGTCCCAGCGGAAGGGCAAAAAGACCCTGGTGTGTGAGATGTGTGCCGTCATCGACGGGGAGGAGATGATGGAGTGGACTTCCTATACCGTCTCAGTGAAGACCAGTGACATCCTGGGTGAGTCAGTGGGTCCCTCCCTTCTCCTGTACCCACCTGCCACTAACCCTGCCCCTCCTTAAATTCTGGCTCAGGTCCTGGGCTCTGGTCAAGACATTTTTCTCCGGATGGCCTTCCAAAAGTTAGTCAGGCCAGCTCCTTTCCACAGTGTGCCACCTTCTGCCTGAACAAAGTATTCCTCCCAGTGACTGACTCGGCTCTGTCCTTCCTGCCTCAGGGGAGTGAGGGAGAATGTTATCAGGCCGTATCGTCAGCACTTTTGAAAACGGTGCAGGAGCTTAGCTCAGAGGCCCTCTGTCCTCCTGCTGCCTCCTGACACCCCTCACCCAGGTGCCATGCATCTTGGATGCCCTTGGATTCCTTCCCCACATCCCTGTGCTTGGCCGCCATCTGCTGTGTGCCAGCTTTGGCCTGGGGTCTTAGGATGGGATAAGTCCCTGAACCCGTGTGTGACTGACATTCGAGGGCAGCAACGACAGTGAGGCTGTGACAGAAGTTGGCACAGGTGCTGGGAACCCAGAGGAGGGCACCTTACCCAGCCTGAGATCAGAGGCAAGGGTCATGGAAGTGCTTCCCAGAGGTGGTGCCAAAGTCTGGCCCAGAAAGACAAACAGAAGCCGGTGAGGCAGAGGGGACACCAGAGGAGGGGCCTTCCAAGCAAACATACAAGCGTGCTCAAAGGCCAGCAGCTGAGAGGAAAGCAATGCCTCCTGCCTCCCCTCCCCTATACCAAGCCTGTTCCCCAGCAGCTGGTGCAAGGAATCTGGCAAACTCACTCACACTACTTATAAATGGCTGGTGAGAGAGCCCCTTGTTGGCCCTGGTAGCTTACATTTTCAACAGAGAAGCATTCAGCCAAAGAAATGAAGCATCTCCAGCATACATGATGGGTCAGGACAGCTGGCAAAGTTTTTCTGGCACCGCCCTTCTTCCTTTCCTCCCCAGAGTGAAGCCTTCACTCTCTTCGCTTAAAGTTCCACGTGTTCACAGTTTTCGAGTCCCTCATCCCTTCACGATGTGCGCTCAGAAAACAATAACTACATTTTTAACCACAGGGTGTGTATCAGAAAATCTTCAAGGAGTGACCTCTCCCAGAAGCCTTTTCTTTTCAACTGGAGTCAATACTTCTATTTGGCTTAAGCAAATGATGTGAAGCTCTAGTGTAGAATGTCAACCAGAGGCAGATTTGGGAACAAGGAACTTTCACATTTTACAGGAGGGAGTTTATTTCTAAACTGTAAAGCCAGTCTACATGACACATGTTTAAGTATGGGTGTATTTTCCCCAAACTAGGTGAGTTCTTGTACCAAACCATTCACACTTGGTAACCAGGATCCCAGTTAGCCCAACAGCATTTACAAGCCACAGATGTGAGACGAAGGATAGAGTGGTAGACCTGGGAGCCCTATGACACTGACCAGCCCTTTCTGGCCTCACCCCTGGCCTCGATGACTCTGAACTTGCCCACGTGCCCCCCTGGCTCCTCCCAGGATCCCGAGAGTGAGGCCAGAACAAAAGAGCTGTGATTCACAAAGTCCAGCACCCAGAGCCCTTGTCTTGTGCACCCCAGGAGCGGGCACCGATGCCAATGTGTTCATCATCATCTTTGGGGAGAATGGGGACAGCGGGACCCTGGCCCTGAAGCAGTCTGCCAACTGGAACAAGTTCGAGCGGAACAGCACCGACACATTCAACTTTTCCAACATGCTGAGCCTGGGCCACCTCTGCAAGCTGAGGGTCTGGCACGACAACAAAGGTAGCTCAGGCTCAAGGTCAGGGTGGGAGGGAGGGCAGGCCTCAGCTCTCCACCTGAGCCCCACCCCGTCTCCCTGGCAGCACGTGGACCCTTCTACCCCAGGGAACCGAAAGCAGTTGATTGCCACCATTTTTTTTAAAATTTATTTAGTTTTGACTGCGTTGGGTCTTTGTTGCTGAGTGCAGGCTTTCTCTAGTTGTGGCGAATAGGGGCTACTCTTCATTGTAGTGCGCAGGCTTCTCATTGTGGTGGCTTATCTTGTTGCAGAGCACAGGCTCTAGGCACACGGGCTTCAGTAGTTGTGGCACTTGGGCTCAGGAGTTGTGGCTCGCGGGCTCTAGAGCACAGGCTCAGTAGTTGTGGTGCACGGGCTTAGTTGCTCTGCGGCATGTGGGATCTTCCTGGACCAGGGCTTGAACCCGTTTCCCCTGCACTGGCAGGCGGATTCTTAACCACTGCGCCACCAGGGAAACCCACAGAAACTGAGATTTTTAATCTTCTTACTCCTTAAGGGGAATAAAAGCCGATTCTTAACTGCCACCAGGGAGACCCAATTGCCACTATTTTGACCGTTCCATCAGTTAGAACAGCCAATGTTTCTGGGCAAATTTTAGTTCCTCCTGCCCCCCCTGCCCCCCGGGGTGTTGAGTAGCTCCTAATTTTCTGTTATGTTGGGGCATTAATTCTACTTAGTTCAGATATAAAAATTAAGAAAAGAAGGGCTACATCACCAAATTCACTTCCCATGGATTTTCTATAAAGGATTATGTTTGTTTATTTATAATAGCTAGTCTAAAATTGGTCAAATTCACTTATAAATATGAATGATGGGATAGACTATAAGCCAAGCAAGAAATTTATTTTTAACTTCAAAATACCTAAGGAATACTTTGTCATATCTGTAATTGTGCTGAATTTTTTCATTATCCTTTTGTTGTCTTCAGGCCGCTCTGAACATTTTTTTCTGGCTTTGGGTCTTTAAGTTACACATTACATAATTAGAAAAGAGTTGTTAAATACTAAATTTCACCTCCTTGAGACATATTACTTTCTTAATTGGTGTGTTCTAACTCACCCTCTTGTCTTCCATTGAAACTGGCCTCAACAAAGCTATTCACTCAAATCCTTCTCCAGTCTTTCCTGAGTTTCCCCCATGAGTGGCCCAGAGGTGTCCTGAGTGTTGTATTTGTCCTTACTTCTTTCAAAACCTGACAGAGGACCAATATGTCTGTCACGGTATCTGATGAAGCCCAACTTGGCAGCTTTAACATGGGTTAAACAGTAAAATTTTTTCAATAATACGGGATAAGCTCTGATTAAGCACAGAGAAAGTACTCGCCTTCAGAGCAATAATCCAATGAAGATTTGCACAGCCCCCAGTTTTCAGATCTCAGTGCATAATTCATTCAGTCGTTCATTGAGTGAACATTTACAGCTATGTCCTATGTGCATATTACACTACGGTCCTAGTGCTCTGTTAAATACGAAAGATACAAACATTTGACCCTTACAACAATCTTGTGAATTCCTGCAACAAAAGCACTGAATTCTCTCTCTTTTCTACAAACAAGGAATATTGAGGCCCTGTGAAGTTTGAACAACTTACTCAGAATCACACAGCAAGAAAAAGACACAGCCAAAACTCAAATTCAGGTCTTCTGATGCCTGTTGTGGGATACCAGCCCATCCTGCCAGTTCCATTCTGCACCCTCACCAGCCACTGTGCCAACAGGTCAAAAAAGAAGATGAGGAGACGAGGACAGCTTCTTTTACCTCCCCTCTCCCCCACACATGTTTATTGTCAGGGTACAGGAGGAGGATGACTTCTCCAGAAAAGTGAAAGGGGATGCTTATTCCTCTCCTGTTCATTCAGCGTCATTATAAGTCTATGGAAAGAAACATACTTGCAAAGTATTCTCAAAATATCCCTAATGAATCTCTACTCTTTCC